GAACGAAGAACAAGGATATATACTGATTGGGAGATCGTGCTATATCAGGATGATGCTGATCGGGACGATCATCGTCAGAACCTTTATTCAGGAGGGAAGAAAACACACAGACACAATTCATCGTCGATCCCCCAGAAAATAAGGGAAACTATGGGAAGTGGGCGGGAAGACAGAAACCCATAATATTATGGGAAAATATGGGGAATCCTGTTATTTGTGTGTGTATTTATTTGTGTGTCCTGGGGCCCCTTCACTTTTTTCAGTCCCGACGAGGGTAGGATAGCTGTCCCAGCGTACCTGCTCTAGGGGTGGGGGCGAGTGCTGCGAAGCCCGACGGTGACGCCACCCAGCTCCTCACCGGGGGGGGGGGCACCAGCCTCTCCCTTAAGGTGCTCCGCGTCCGTTTAGGTGTACCATACGCGAGCGGGCGCTCTCTGGGCTCGTTCCAGGGGCGACAGAGAGTGGAAGCGTTGAGAATGTTGCGCAACTGTCGCCCGCCCGTCTATCACAGCTGATAAGAGGCCGATTTTTCTTCGGACCAGCAGCATGTGGCAGGGGGAGTGTTTTTGGGTGAGGCCCGGGAAGAAGTCTGGACTTCACGAAAAAGTCGGGGATCACTCGCACGCCTTTTTTCGGCCAGTGCTGTTTGACAAGGAGACGGTGGAGAAGTGGGGGAGTATGCCATGCAAGTGAACTTGCTTGAGCCTAGAGCAGATCGCCCTCTATGCTGCAATCTTGTCATCAGGGTGATCTGGGCGCTCTGCCCGAGATTTCCCCAAGGCGAGCGGAGCTCAGCGGCCAGCGGGGTTGAGGCTCCTCCCGTAGAGGGTGAAGGTGGTTTCACCCTGACCTCCGACGTCGCGACAAAGTGCAACATCGTGCCAAATGACGACCTGAGCCCTTTGTCCCATTTTTGGAGACCTGGAAGTGGACACCAACACCAACACAGGGGGTTGCATCCGCAGGGGGAAGATGATCCTAGATTTCGGTGTTGGTGGTAATAGTTCGGCCACCTTGGAAGCCAGAATATTACCACCATCACCGAGACCGGGATCTTCTTCCCTCGGTGCAAGCACACCGCCGATACTGGTGTTGGTGTCAACCTCTAGGCCTGCGACCTCCTCCTTCTCTGTTGCATCTCCACCCCAGACCGGCACGCCGGCAAGACGTCCCCAGGAGCGCCCCAAGCGCGTCCCACGAGGGCCCCAAGAGGGGGTTTGCCTCCTCCTCCTCCTCCTCCTCTTCCTCCTCCTCTTCCTACTACTCCTCCTCCTCCCCAGACCCCCTCGAGTAATGAAAAAATCACGATGGGAGGTTTTTCACAATTTTCAGCCTCTGGGGGCCCTTACCGGGTCTCGGGACCGTCAAAGGACGACTCGGGATGAAAAACTGGTCCCGGGGAATGTGTCGAGACCTCGGGGGTCGACGTAACGAAACAAACGTGACGTCGGTGGTCTGGGGGCTGCACTTGTCCAGATCCGCAGGCACCTCCTCTTGGTCATGCTCCCCGGACCCCCGGCGTCCTGCTACCCTCGTCAAAATTAACTTCAAAAGTTGCTGGCACGTCATTTCGATTTCGGCGCGCTCCTCAATGTCGACACGCCGCCCCTTCAATGTCGGTGCGAAGTCAAAGATAGTCTGACCGAAGTTGACTCGAAAGTTTGACGTCGACCGACATTGGAGGGGCGGCGCATGCAAGTACCCCGCACTCATCGATACTCGGCCCCAGATCTCCCGACAGGCAGTTCAACCACGTCAGACATTTTTGAGGTTCAGTTTGACGAGTTGTGGTTCAGCCGGCCCCCTTCCCCAGGACCGGCTCTTCATCGAGAGCTGTTTTTCGAGGCCTATAGAAGGCTTCAGGAGGCCGACGGCTCCTCATGCCCGTTGCGATGTTTTTTGGTCACGACGCGGGCATGTCTGGGCATGTCGGTACGATGACTGTACTGGTCCAGTCGGACGGGGCTAGGATGAGGATGAATCCGTTTCAGAGCGTTCCGGAACGCTCTCAGGTCGTTCCAGAACGCTCTGGGAAGGCCGCCGCGCCCGAGGCATCCTCCAGAACCGCCGGATTTCAAAGATTCTCGATTTACAGTCAACGCGCATAGTAAGGACGCGCGCCTTCTGTAGGGTACCCTTGTGTCCTTGCCTCCGCGGCCCATCCTTTGCCTCTTCCACGGGGGTTTGGGACCCCCAGAGGTCTGGACACCTTCCCGGGGACCGGTTTTTAATCCCGAGTCTTCTCTTGACGGCCCCGAGTCCCGGGACTGGCCCCTGGAGGCCACAAACGGCGAAAAGCCTCCCGTCGCGATTTCTTTCACAACGCGACGGAGGTCTGGGCCCCGGGGCATCCCCGGGGCACCAGCGGAGGAGGAGGAGGAGGAGGAGGAGGAGGAGGAGGAGGAGGAGGAGGAGGAGGAGG